CCATCGAATGTCTTCAGATCTCAAAGAAATGAAGGAAGGTTTCACTGCTCTCCTCAATCGGCTGGAGCAGGGGGCCACGAACAACGACAAAGGAAGCCAAGAAGAGCGCAGCAATGAAAACAACCGCAGAACAGGGCCGGCGGCAACAAGAGCAGCCAAAATCGATTTCCCCATCTTCTCAGGCGGCGACCCAACTCCCTGGATTCTCAAAGTCGAACGGTACTTCGATTACCATGAAACACTTGGGCAAGACAAGGTAGCTCTGGCTTCTACGCATCTTGAAGGGGAAGCTATCCTCTGGTTTCAATGGTACCGACGGGGGCACCCTCATCAAACTTGGGCAGACTTCACTGATGCCATGAATATCCGTTTTGGATCGTCTGGGTTCGAAGATCATGGTGAGAGTTTGGCAAAGCTACGGCAGGTAGGATCAATTAAAGATTACCAGATGGAGTTCAAAAAGTTGGCCGTGAGAGTCCAAGGGTGGACGGAGAAGGCGTTGGTGGGAAGCTTTGTCAACAACCTAAAAGAAGAACTGCGACTAGAAGTGAAGGCGATGCAGCCCACTTCAGTCATAAATGCGGCAGCGCTAGCAAGATTGTATGTGGATAAGTTCGCTCGAGCAAGAAAGGTGCAACAATCATGGGGTCCAGGAACCAGGACGACAGCACCAGTCAAGGAGGAAGGAATACTGGGCCCAGGCCCATTGGTTCCTCTCAAACGACTGACCTGGGCAGAGATGCAAGCCCGCAGAGACAAAGGACTTTGTTACAACTGCGAAGAGAAATTCGGGCCGGGCCATTGGTGCAAGAAACAAGCATTTTCTCCTCAAAACAGATGCCGAAGAGGAAGACGACCTCACCGGTTGTGGGGAATCTAACCAAGGGTGGGAAATACAACCCAATGGCACACCTGAAATATCTCTACAAGCCCTTACGGGACTTGCGTCCCCTCAAACAATGAGAGTTGTAGGGTTAATCCAAGGACGCCAAGTGTCAATCCTCATAGACAATGGCAGTTCCCTTAACTTCATAACTCAAGTCTTGGTGGATAAAATGGGACTCCCAGTTCAACCAACAACGGCTTTTACGGTTCACGTGGCCAACGGTAATAGCCTATCCTGCAATAGCATTTGCATGGGCTTACCACTAAAGGTTCAGGGTCACCAGTTTGCGATGGACTTATATCCTCTTCATCTCAGTGGAACGGACATGGTGCTAGGCATTCAATGGTTAAGACATCTAGGGTCCGTGATCTGTGACTGGGCCCGTCTCACCATGGACTTCACATCTGAGAACTATACAGTCCATCTACAAGGGCAAACATGCAAGGGTCCAAGGCCCATCAGTCTTGCAACATTAACAAAGCAAATAGGAGATCCGGATCAGCCCATATTCATGCACATGGACTCAAATTGGACCAGCCCATCTTTAGCTAACAGCAGCCCAAATGGGCCTAGAGACTTCCAAAGCCACCTACAACAACTCCTTTAGCAATATGGCAGCGTGTTCGAAGAACCCCAAGAACTTCCACCACACTAGGAGCATGACCACCGCATCCCCCTCATGCCGGGAGCTGCCCCAACCAATGTAAGACCCTACCGATACCCTTACTTTCAAAAATTTGAAATCAAGAAGCAAGTTCAAGATATGCTTCAGCAAGGGATAATACAGCCTAGTCACAGCCCATTCTCTTCACCGGTATTATTAGTCAAAAAAAAGGATGGGACGTGGTGATTTTGTATTTATTACAGAGCCCTTAACAATATCACCATTAAAGACTGATTTCCAATACCGATCATTGATGAGCTGCTTGATGAACTTAGTCAAGCCACCATATTCTCAAAATTAGATTTACAGGTTGGGTATCATCAAATAAGGGTACATAAGGAGGATGTTCACAAAACGGCTTTCAGGACACATGACGACCACTATGAGTTCCTGGTCATGCCATTTGAGCTGACCAATGCTCCAGACATATCCCGGCCATATTTACCTAAGTTCATCCTTGTTTTCTTTCATGACATATTGGTCTATAGCTCCAATTGGGAGGAACATCTGAATCATCTACAGGTCACCCTTGCAACACTTGAGGCCCACCAGTTTGTTCGCTAAAGAGTCCAAGTGCTCCTTTGGAAAAAACCAAGTTCACTACTTGGGACATGTTGTAGAGAATGGAACTGTAGTGGCCAACCCAGATAAAATCTCCAGTATAATGGGCTGGCCGCAACCCAAAAGTGTGAAAGAGTTGAGGGCCTTCTTGGGCCTGACTGGGTACTACCGCTGCTTCATCAAAAACTA